GTTAAGATTGTTATTCATGGGATTAGGGTTTTTCCCCATAGAAACGGTGATGGACGGTCCCCACAAAGATACAGATACAAACGTACGTGCATGTTAGCATGTATGTGTGCACAAGCAAGAAGCTAACCGCTCAAAAATGTATATGCTATAGGGTCTTCAGTGAGGCCAAAGGGGATCTCCACTTAATAAACACAAACATGGGGTGAATCAGTGAGCCGCTTTGGCTTCAGGTCAAAGGTCAAAGGTCAATGATGCAGTAGGTGGTAATATGGCCCAAACCAAAACACCACCCCTGTTTGCCAGACCCCAGCAAACAGGAAAAACACACACAGCATTGAGTGATGGAATAGAATGGTACCTTCCTCTCCAGAAACTGGCTGTGAATAAGCAAGGTCTAGGGGGCAGAGTCTGTTGACAAAAGATTAGACTTTGGTAAACCTCTCACACGAGACTTACAGTATTCCTCTGGAGTAAGCGGGGAAAACCACAGTGAGCAGTACTTCAGGTGCTTTGTTCTGTTCCCTTGGGTTTGCCAGGCAGAGAGGACATGTTGTCCTTCCCTTCTCCTCTAGCACTCCTGCCTCTCACCTGGTTCCAGGTGACAGAACCCAACATACCAGGCTTTCAGACAATGACCTGTGATCTTGTTGAATTGAGAGGAACATTCCCTTCATCGTAGGCCCAAGCAATTTCATCTCATTGGTGGATTACCATGGTAACTAGGAGCTGTCAAGCGTTATTCCTGCCTGGAGGCGAATTCTCAGAAAGAGCACAAATTTCTCGAATGTTTTCGTTTCTGTTGAGCGGAACGATTTGTCAATGGCGTGTGTGTATTGCGTTGGCCATTTTGCACTTGCCCTTGGATAATTAACGTGATGGGGTTGAGCATACAGTTGATTGCTAAAAATGACAGTGATATGTCAGCAGGTAGATTTGACCATAGATTATCAAGATGATGCAGTTGACAGGGTTGTCTGGCTTAGGTTGGGATAAAGTAACAAGATCACTCACGAGTCCTTGAGTATCTCACATACAGGAGACAGCACACTGTTTGTGTGAGCACTGTCACAGTCTTATTTACACCACAGGCCTTTGAATCAACACTGCCAACAAAACACCTGAGGATAGCAGAGTGTAGTGCGGTATAACTCACCCTCAAAGGGAGGAGCTTGTAGATCTCACCCCGAAAAGGAAGCAGGGCTAAAGCACTCCAACAGTATTTGTCAAAGTAAGTAATCCTTGTGGAGCAGGACCCACATGATTAAGAGCATCCAGATGTAATTATGGAGACGGGGAGATATTACCTCATCTGATTTATCTCAGCTGTCCAATAGGAGGTCTGCAGCTTGTCTATATTAGAGAGCCAAATTACAGAGGGAACCAATTACTAAGTACAGTCAAAGAAGGCACGATTAGGGGATCACGGTGTATGGAAGGATAGGTACCCGCATCACATGAGTGCCGCAGGGATGAGAGCCCCCTGAATAAAGAGGGGGGGCTTGAAGTGATCCGGGGCCAAACCTCAGCTGCTGCTCTTCACCTTATAAACACCACAACTTATAAACATTTTATTCACACCTCAGGGAACTCAACTTTCCATGCACTTCCAAATGCAGGCCTGCAGCCTTAATACAGGCAATCTCACCAATAACTGTTTCCCAAAAATGGCCTTCATGACATGAAGAAAAAGACAAAAAATGAAACAATAGCAAGATTGATAACTCCTGACCACTGCTCTATTTTAGGGCATTACAGCATCAATGCCATGGAGAAAAACTGCATCCCCGCCGATAAACAGATGCAGTAAATCCTGCACTCAGCGGTCCAGCTGAAACAGTGGAGGAGTTTTGCGTTTCATTTACATTTATTTACATTTAATTAATTATCAAAAGCTTTTGTCCAAAGTGATATGCAAGTGAGGATCAGAGAACCAGATCAGCTAGCATCCCCGAAGCAACTGGGGTTTAGAGCCTTGTTGAAGAGGTCGACTGTGATATCTCTACTCCGCTGTCCGTGGGATTTGAACCCACAACCTTCCGGACATGGGCGCCAATCCATTATATGCTGAGATACACATCACGTGCAGGTGAAACTTTAAGCTACAGAGGAAGGGGGAAGCAAGAATCTGTAAATAACTGGTCTTGAAAACACATGCCGTGGGTCGGACCCCAAAGAAGCAACAGCAAAGCCGGGTTTGTCCGGTTCCTCTGCGGCCGTTGTCAGGTGTCACCGCCGGCTATGACAGCAGTGGCACTTTAGTCATGTGACGCCCAGAAAAGTCACACCATAAATGTGACGCCGCACAGTCCCACTGTCTCCATCTGCAGACAGTGCTAATGAGTGCTGATCTAAAATTACACCAATGCTCACATGCTCCATAATCACCGCTAGAGAAGATCGTGCATCCCAAGGTGTGGCTGGACGTACCGAGAGCGAGGCATCATCCATGCTGAGAATCCAGCAACCTTCTACTCAGCACAGAAGAGGTGCCTGTTAGAGGACTTTCATCTCCGTCTGAAACGTCGTCCTGTCTATAGACATTCTTCTCTTCCATCCCATTATGGATGCATGCACCTCTTGTTTCACATAAGTTCCTGCTCAAGGTCCTGTTACTATTTGTTTGCAGTATATCGTATTACTAGTACCACAAATATGTTTGCACTGCAAAACTATTACTAATACTATGAACAAAACAAGCAGACCACAGTGTGGATCTACCTAAAGGATTTTTAGTTGCATATTTGGTTCACTGTTAGCTGAACCTCAGGATAAAACCAGCACCGAATTAATGAGAGATGGCTTTGAGGCCTAATGACAGATTCTCAACGCAAGGAGACTGACAGTCTATTAGACGACAGTACTAATGTGGTACAGCATACAGCAAAAAGTAAACAAGTGACAGCATATAAGTACCTTGAGATGTGGAAACATACACACACACACACACACACAGAAAGTGAGGCAGCACGGAATGTGATGACAGCCACACAACAAAGGCATGCAGACAGAAAATCCATGAAAGATCCCACTCCTGCAGACGCACGATAGGAGACTGACCAAGAGCCAAGCTGAACCCCACGCGGGTCCAATGGAGACGTGGAGTGCTGATTCAAAGATGCTACAGAGTAAATAAAGGCAAGGTGAAAGGCACTGTCAACAGACAGGATTTCCATTTAAAACATGCGACCAGTACAAGTAAATCAGAGCAGAGACACGTACCCTGTTCCCCTCTCCTGGTCCATCAGGACCGAAACAAATACTATTTCCAAGTGTAAAGTTAGGAATACTAACTTTATTCAAGCTGGTTAGACTTGTAAAAGTGTGCCCTTCATTTTATGGGTTCTTAAATGTTCTTTACCATGTGTACAGATGATATAGACATATATTCAAAACTGAGGGCTCTTTCTAGACATTTCCTTCAGAACCCCTTGGGAATTGCTCCATTGATCTGGGGGGGGGGGCATTATAGATTATATAACCAAAGGGATATGAAGACCCCATTCATGAATAATTCTATAAACAAATGAATGGTTGTACAGAAGTGACTTTCCACTTGGCACCATCACAGGACCCCATCTTTCCAACAAGTCAGTTCCCCACATTGCTGCCCTACTAGAGCTGTCTTGATCATCCAGAAGTGATGCAGTTGTGAAGGATAAAATGTCTGGGAGCAAGTTCAGTTAAAGTGCTAGGGCCACAGGAGTCACAGACAGGGACCTGATAACCCAACATCAACACCCAATCTGAACGACAGCAGATCTCACCAGCAACATCCCAATGTCCAATGGAAAGCCTCCCCAGAAGAGCAGAAGCTATTATAGCAACAATGGACTGACCAACTTCAAATTTATACCCATGGTTTCAGAATGAGACGCTGGACAAGCTGGTGAAGTCCAGTGAAGTAAAATTCCTTATAACATATTCAGAAAAATTTCAACGTCTTAGCATCCCTGGTGACCTTTCTGCTAATACATCCGCTTTAACCGGATAGAGACACAGTTAGCAATCTGAGATCAGGAATCTCACCTGCTGCTGTGCAGCCCAGTTCCTTACCTTGCCTAAACAAGGCCATTAATTATCATTACAATGAGGCCCCTAATTACTCCCATTCTTTACAGCTAGCGGGCAGTCAGGAAAGTGGCACACAGGACATGCCAATTATGGAGAAGAGGGAGGGTGAAAAAAAAAGATACAATTACATCACACACCAGCGGCAGTAAGAGTTCCAGCTAAGCAACCCACTTTGGTTTCAAACACATAAACAGGGCCACCGTTCAAAGAGCAGATTTAAAAACAATCAGCCATTAACAAACCCATTAAGTCGTCACTCTGCACAGATACTAGTGCCTGTTGGCAAACATCTCAGCCTTGTTGCGCAGCCACTTCCCCAGTCTGGCCCAAACATTATCTGGCCTTTTAAGAAATGAGTGGTTCCTAATCAGCAGCGACGGATGAAGGGAAAGAGTGCTGAGTGACGAAAGTAAATTTGTCTAAAGACACATAGTAAACAAAGAGCGAGCATGCAGAAACTATCAACAATCCATTCTGCATATCACACACAGTTCATTTAGCTATATGCCTTTGGACGGGGGGAGAAAAACTACATGCACAAGAGGACGACACACGACCGAGGACGACTCAAGACCGAGGACAACACACGACCGAGGACGACTCAAGACCGAGGACGACACACGACCGAGGACGGCTCAAGACCGATGCGTCCTTGATATTTGGGGCAAGAACGACGTCTGGGGATTTTTACCATCCTCTGTACTTCTGCTCTTGAGTATTGGAGCTGTACTTCAGTAATGGAAGACGACGTAAAATGGGTACTTGAGAACACAAGAACGGCCGAGTGTGCATTCTGATAAACAGCCAGGGTTAGGGCTGGAAAAAGAAACTTCAGAAAAAAAGAAATTTAAACACAAAAAAATACAGAAGCCAGCATGTGTCCTTCATTTTCTGTGCCGTGTGCCTGCATTAGGCGTGTGTGCACGTACCCTGAAGTCGATCCCCACTGTGGAGATGAAACTCCCAGCCAGGAAGGCGCCGTCCTTGAAGCGCACCAACAGGCAGGTCTTCCCCACCCCAGAGTCTCCCACCAGCATGACCTGCCCGGGGCGAGAGAGACAAGCTTATCAAGAAACATGGACGCTGACTTAGACATCACAGCACCTCCAGCAAAAATAAAGAAATAAATATCACACCAGCATGTTCAGCCTTAGCTTAGCCTTCAGCCCGATGACATAAAGGCTGATTATTTACTGCAGTACCATGTGGTCAGTGCAGGAAATTAAACATCTGGGGGGCATTCACAGTATGTTGGGGGTATGTTTTAAGAACAGCACTGTCAACAGAGAGGATTTCAAACATGCGACCGCTACAGGTAAATCAGAGCAGAGACACATTCCCGGTTCCCCTGTCCTGGTCCATCAGAAAAGTTTCTGTTTTTAATGTGAAATGTACCCATCCTAAAATGCATAAAGAAATCACCACCTTATGCCAACGAGTAATTGTACTACTGCTGTTCCAAAGATAAGTGTGCAATCATCTCTATGTGTATAGAATACCATCTGTATGTGAGAGAAAGCAGGAGATAGTTTTAATTATTTAGGTGTTTACTTAGCTCACAATAGCTTTTGTATATAAGTATAATGCATTAGTTAATAGATAAAGTGAAAACTTCATCCCAGGTTTTCAAATGAACTAGTTTATGGTCTTTTTTTAAACATCCTCTTTAGAAACTCTTGAAGGTCTGTTAAAAATATTTGGGGAAATAAAAAGCAGTGCTTTACAACAGAAACGCAAACTGGTCTCTTCGACAAAATAAAACAAATATCGCAGATTACGATATTTTAAACCTGTGAGCCAGTAATATTTTAAAATGAAATTAAACAAGTATCAATTAATCTTCACCTCCCTGACCTATGCCGTGACATGTTTACTGAATGGGTTGATTTTAGCTGTGAATTCTGGGAATCTCTGCAACATCATGACCTAAGCTGTCATATTTTTTACGACTAGGAAGGAATACCATTGGTTTTTAACACATAAAACCTGTTAACGGTATTGTGTCTCATTTTGAAAATATCGATATACCGTGAAAGTTCCTGCCCAGCCCCAGGTGACTGTAAAGGCTGTTGATTGGTGGGTGGCAAAGCAATGGATAAGCAGACGATCCATACTGTAGCTATGCTCCCAGCTCAGATCTGTTTGTTTGTTTTTGGATGAACACCTTTATTAAAAAACAAAACTGGTCACTGCCAGGTATCATAACAGCATTACACAGTAGTACATAGTTACATTACATAAAGTTATGTACGTACGTACTGTGAAAACAGCGCTGTTTGTATGAGTGTGTGTTAGAGACAGAAATGGAAATTAAATTAAAATAAATATTTTAAATAATGATGGTTAAATGTAACAGTTCTTCTTTCTTTTTTTCCCCCTCGAATTCTTGTGGGCAAATTTTTGCTCCTCAATCACAGTTTTTAGGGCCATTCTGATATTTCTTGGGGCATTCTTGCCCTTTGCCCCATTATTTTTGACACTGCATGTAGTACTAGTGTATAATACAGTAATTTCTTTACAGGGAAAAAAAATAAATGCAAGCGTAAACGTAGCTTCCACTCCCCCATTTATTTTAGGCTAATGCTGTTTGGCTATCGAGCATATTGGCACCAAGCAATTTTGTGTTAGATCATGGTGGCCCAGAGGTTGAGGTCAGTACTCCAGAAGAATAGATATGCTGTCAATCCATAATCAGGTTTGCTGGGGAGTTGTAGCTTATGAACCACCCAGGTCTACTCATTGGGGGATGGGGAATTCAACCTTGAAAGAACACCGGTTACATCCAGTAAGCTCAGGGGAGGGGAATATATCAGTCAAATCACAACTCGACACATATCCATCCCAGGAAAGCCATTTAACCAGGATGTTCCTTGTCTTACATTATTCATCACCACTGGCTCCAGACTTGTGAAATGCCGTTGGATCTCCCAGCTGTTCCGTCCTTATCGGAAGCCTGCCAGACATCTGAGACTCCAGTCAAGCTAAACTGCACATCATGTCGCAAAGACGTTCAGCTGGTCAATGGCGCTAAGCAACAGCTACTTTTTAGAGATCATGTACAGCTACATTCAAGCCTAAGATTTTAAAACACTGAGATTAAAAATACATAAACACAGCAAGCAGCCATTCATCCCCAAGCTTTGATCATGTGGCAGCCAATTGAGAACCTCTGCCAGCAATGATTTGCATTTTAGTCTGCTTCGTTTATGGAAATGCACGGAAAATTGAGGTTCGGACTTAACCGCTTCTGGGTGGGTTGTTTTGCAGATGTGGCCAACCAGACCACTGGCAGTGTGCAGTGAATAAGCAGGCCGGCGGTTGCAGTGAGTTAGCAGGCAGGCGGTAGCAGTGTGCAGTGAGTAAGCAGGCCAGCGGTGGCAGTGTGCAGTGAGTAAGCAGGCCGGCGGTGGCAGTGTGCAGTGAGTAAGCAGGTCGGCGGTGGCAGTGTGCAGTGAGTAAGCAGGCCAGCGGTGGCAGTGTGCAGTGGGTAAGCAGGCCGGCAGTCAGGAAAATCGACACTTTTGCTGTTCCGCATCAGCTGTCTCCTACAAGGTCTGGATTGAAGGTGCAGCTTGTGTAGGTTGGCCGTTCGGTCACATCGTTTTAAGATGGGGGGGGGGGGGGAGAATCCCAGCTTGATCTCTCTGGAGATCTGGAGGAGTCTTCACTCCTCTTGGCTAAAAAAAGACCTGACACATGCGAAGACGACTGGTCTGGTCGTTTTGCAAGCTTAAGGAGGAATAATACCAAGCCTGGATATTCTTCTTCGTAAATCATCCAAACTGACAGTCGGTGCTGGTCCAAGAGTATTTCTGTCAGTCTGTCGCAGTCTTCAGTACACCATCAAGAATGTATAGGACTGTGTGCATCTTATATTAAACTAACCCAGAGTCAAAAAGGTGGAGCACAACAGAAAAAAACTTCTATTAAGCTGAATACCAAAATGTACTTAACATAAAATTATCTCAACACAGGATGCACACAGCCACACTACTCAGAAGACAACACTGGAGGTATATGACAAAAGAGCGTGCAAACTCAGGCACTGCCAGGAGGGCTCTATTGGGACGCAAGTGACCTTGAACCAGAAATGGGAAGAAAATTTAGGGCGAGCGGCTCCAGCACCTGTTAACTTCCAAAATCAGTAAACTGAGTACATTTGCATTTAAAAAAACATAAGAATTCGCACCGCGTGCATAAAAGAACCACACAATATTACCACCTGTTGAAAGTATAATACCGACGATAGAAACAACCGGATCTTTCTCTCTCTCTCTCTTTCTCTCTCTCTCTCTCCGAGCGGCGCTGCTCTGTCCTGCTACGCCCGAGAGCGGTGTGCGCTGCAGGTGCGGGATTATCTTTATTGACACAGATGTGTCACGGTCATTCGCCTTTTGATTAACAACTATTTAAATTAGACACAAAAAAGAACGCAAAATAACGTGTTGATTTCTTACCAACTCCGTAGACATCCCCACCATCGCACGCACAGAAAAAAAAACTACATCGCTACAACACAGCTGTGCAACGGGCTATCAGTTATTGCACATTTGTGACTGCCATAATTACCGCTGCTTTTGACGTGTCATTTTTCTTTATCAGATCAGTTATTGCAATATAATAAAGACAGAAAAGCGTAACATCGCAGCTGTTTAGCTGATGCGGCAGCGCCAGTCAACAAAGTCTGAGTGGAGATTATAGTGCATCTTGCTGCCTGAAAAAAACAACAAAAAACTCCTATTGATCAACTCCAGCGAGCTTTAACTAAATCCAATACTTAAATCAAGGAGGATGCATTTACTCCAAAGCGTAAGTTATATTCACACCCATAAGTTGCTCCACTGATGTCAATAACGAAGCACAGGGTCCCGCATTAACGGTGTATAGTGAGAGTGGCTCACCTTAAAAGCGAGATCATAAAACTCGCTGCTGTTGCTCAGAGAGGGCCGGCTGGGGTGCACCGTTCCATTGGACGTTATCTCGGGCGTGGAGATGCTTTCCCCCGGCTTCCCATTTTCTTTGCTCTTCGAGGCGGCTGCTGTCGGGCTGCTAGTGCTACTTTTGCCTTTCACGGTCTTTTTTCTGGACATTTTTCCAAGCGAGACCGACGCTCTGTCGAAGCTTCTGGTGAGATGTTTAGCCCGGTAACGATGTACTTGTTCGACAGCTATAAGCGTTTAAAATTAAACAGCTTCGCGATTGTTTTTTTCCCCTGAATACTTTTACGGGTTTTACAAATAAAACCTACTAGTTTTCACTCTCAAGTTTTCATCTGTGAGTCAGTACCATAGCTATGGATGTCTTACTCATTTTCGTTTAATTGCCAATGTGTGTGTACAGTCCCCCCGGCTCTCCGCTCACTTTAGCGCAGCTTTCTCGTATCTGCGCCTACTGCCGCTGTTCGTCTGTGATGGTAAAGCTGATGCTGGGTTCCTTAATATTGACAGCTGGCTCGAGGCGCCGTGCCGTCCAATCACCGAGAGGCCTCAGCCAGCCGCGACCAATAGCGACGAGGCGAGGCCACGCGCGAAAAAATCACGTCCACGTCCACGTCCACGGTACACCTGGCCAGCAGCGAAGCACCTACTGTAAACGTGCGCAGCTTGCTCGTTGAGAACCGGAGCGCAGAAGGGGCAATACCGAGATGGCAGTAAACATTGGAACCGTTTCAGGGTATGACAACTTTGGTCACCTGGCTGGCGTGAGATTTTCAGTTCGAGACAATTCTGCGGGCACATGCACATGCATTTACATGTATGTAAATGTTTTATTACCTTGTAATAGTCTGTAGGGTTTGCAAATTACCCCAACGCTTTTGAAGTAGCTAATCTTAGAAATACTATAGATTTGCCGTAAGATTTCTTGCGTGAGCCTGAAAGCGTGAGTGTCACGCCAGATGCGGGAGAGCTTGGCAACCCTGCCGCTTGGAGTTAAGATGCGGCTTCGGGAGGATGGCGTTACCTACTGCGCTACTACGATTTCCCAATTTAGTCTGACAAAAGATACTGTACTACTTAAAACAGTTTTCGGAACATGTCATGAAACGTTTTTTGTTTCAGTTATGGCTAGTAATATCAAATTTAATGTTCGCCAGAGCTCGACTACAAACTTGATTTACGTGTGGGTTATATTGTTGCAGATTATGAGTGGACTGGGATTAAAAATCGGTGCTGTCTGGCAACTTTACCGATCGGTCCTTCTCGGTGGGGTTTAAAAACTCGTAGTTTTACTTACATGGCTACGGGGGCGGGGTCCCACGACAAATTTTGCCCGCTATGCCAGATGGTCAGTCCAGCCCTGCTGAAATAATGTTTCTTTGCACAGTGTATGAATTGCAGCTTCATGTTACAACCTGTTTACGTGCAGACTCGTGGTACTCAATTACTGTACTAATGGGCATTCATCTACTCCATCACGTGCGATACTCCACACTGACCGCTATTTTTTATTTACATAGGCTACTTTTAAGCAGCATCTATAAAGAACTGTAATTGAAGACAATAAAATACTGAAATTCTACGAAGTTTCGGGCGCTTTACTAGATTGTACAAATAATGTAGTTATGCTGTTTAAACTATGTTTGCTCACGTTATAAATGCATACGATTATGGATTTAGTTGGTTTTTGCGTTCTCAAGTTTGCACACATGGCTTTGAATAATTCTGTAATTTTGAAAATTCAAAAGACTGGGAAAAAGGCAAATTTGACAATTCATAAACAGCCAAAGATACATGGATTAATTTGTGCCGCCAAACAAATGGTAGAACAATCGAGCTACTATGCCTTTTATCGGGTACACATGAGTCATTCATTCTCATTTGAGGCGCAGTGGTTCTCATTAAGACTCAGTTTGCTTCTGCTGATTCATCTGAAGTACATTATGTAACCGCATCGGTGTCCTAGTGTTGAGTCACTCGGATAAATATGCAAAAACGTGTGCCTTTGACATTTTAGATGTATCCGACGGCACTATGTTCCCTTTTGTCCTGTTTTATTTTATTTTTTGTTGTTTAACCTATTTCATTTTGCGCTCCTCTGCTTTACGGCTTAACCATACACTAGTAGCCTACTACTCCATGCAGACGCGATTTGTTTAATTGATCTCCATGTTCGTGGGTTGCTTTCTAAGCAACCGCCAACATGCCGTATAGATACAGATCAGGTTTAACAGAAATGTAAAGTACTGAAAGAATAATGTGATGCTGATAATCTACAAGAGTATGACCTGTATCGATTTTATTACATTTAAAGAGCCGATATATGGCCAGGAGTTGGGTGGAGTGAATGGACATCCGGAGATGGTTACTGGTTGAATCCCGCACATGGTGACAATCGTGTGTATTTTGCGCATGACAGAAGAAAGGCAGGAACTGAATATATACACATTTTAACGTATAAAGCACAAGTTCTTTCATGTCATTAAAGCTGTTTGGTCAATATATATTTTGCAGCTTCGCGTCGGGTTTCATTATAAGAATTTCACCATCCATCTTTCTTCGTAATTGTCATTATTTTGGATCACCACTCTAAATTCAGTTCAAAACGTTTGGTAGGACAAATGCAATTGTGACGGCTTTCAATAAACTCCGTGTCCTGGAGTTTACAGTTAAAGTAGATTAAGCATATGTAGGCCTATCTGTTTTACACGCAGATAAACTGCCTGGTGTATACGCGTCTATATGGTGCAATTCCTTTTTATGTATGGCGCCGTAGTTTGTCTGCAGAAAGTGAAAGAAGAGACATCCTGTTGAAAAATCAAGAAAAGTTAACTTGTACACAGACAAATATATCGGTTTTTGCCACTCATTCTGATTAAATATATGCAAAATATCGTTAAGCACACATGCAACAACACGCCAAACGCATTATTCTAAAATGAATAAAGTTTGTGAATATTACCACCCACCAGAGGGGGCTAAAGTCCGTGTTAATTCGTATTTCACCAAGGCGACGCTTAAAACTGAAATTCCTGACTCTAAAATCATTTTCTTTCTGACTTCGGACCTATGATGAAATAATTAGCAGCTTTGGCCTGCATCAGTTCAAAATCGGTATACCATTTTTTTTTAAAACGGTTCATCTGCACATTCTTATTCAGCTCTATAAACATCTATCAAGAGCTTTTGATAAGTATGTAATAATTGGTTGTCTTACTACAACTTTCAAATGCTGCTCCCAGAATCCCTTGCTCCCGGTGACGTTTTTTGAATGACACACATGTGCTGTGACAGCTGACAACCTGCCCCTTTCCACAATCTTCCAAGCATCAGCATTTTGTGACAACTAGTAATGGGGAGTTTGTTTGGGGGGTGGGATTCGGGGGGGTCAGAGCTTGCTCAACCCCATCACATTCAACTACTAAAGCCAACCCCCCCCCCCCCCCCAACAGCTGAGATTCATTACACGGCACATGCAGCTGTTCCCCCCCTAGCAACAGCTGGAAATTTTGGAGGGAATGAATTAATAGATAAATAGATAAATAAATAAACAAACAAACAAGCTAAAATTCCTTCCTCTTTATAAACATAACCATAACGGTCTGGTCAGGGAGGAATCGGCAGGCTCCCTGACATGGCATTCGGAAGTGGCCGGCAGCGTGAGACAGTGTGAAGAGCCCGCAGTCGTCTCTCAGCAGACTGCCTTTGCAGGGCTTTTGTTCCCACAGACTATGGCTTCCATGCCGATATACGTTTGTTTGTTAGATTGTATGTGGTAGTCATTTCGGTACATTTCCCACACTTCCAGCAGACCCGCACTGCCCAGGAACACCTCTACTGGCCTACTCACCTCGGAGATCCCTGAACGCCCCTAGTGTTGCACTTTATCTGCAGATTTTAATCATTCTCTTATAAGATGTGTACCTCTTGCTCCGATACTGCTCACACTTGTGCCTGGAGACTCACAGGAAGGTCAGCCTGGCTGCACTTATTTGTCAAAGTTGCAGCTTGTGTGTCGCATTGAAAAAAGGCTCCCGTTAAATATATAAATGGGACTAGAATGGAATCACAGCACAAAAACAGCCCAACCGCATAAAAAGAGCCGCTCGACGGTCACAGCAGGGCTTTTCTGGTGGGGAAGATGCCCTGATCTGCCTCAGTGCCAGGAGGAAGGCTGCACAGCCCCACCGGGAGGGACACCTGTGCCGGCACAGCTGCAATACCGTCCAGCACACCTGGGGTAAAGCAGGGGTGGGGGGGGGTATCTAGCATCAGCAGACCCTGGCTGCGTGGCACAGCGCACAAAGGCTGCATGCTCTCTATTTTCATGTTGCGTTCGCTACAGACAGGACCTGCATGTGTTTTATTTGTAGGATTGGCGACCCTTGTATGCTGCACCTCGGCGTCTGCGGGGGCCAAACTGGAAACAGGCAGCTCGGGATTTAGTGCTGCAGCGAGAGGAGGGGGGGGGTGTCCGATCCAATGTGATCCGATCCCATCTGGCCTTTCTCCCTGCTACTGGGATGAGATTTCGGAAGCCGACCTCCACCGACACTATGTGTGTCCTCGGAACCCCCACTGGGCACAGATTTTAATTGGAGGGGTGAGATACGTCGAATCCCCAAAGGCACAGATTTTAATTGGAGGGGTGAGATACGTCGAATCCCCAAAGGCACAGATTTTAATTGGAGGGGTGAGATACAGTACGTCCAATCCCCAAAGGCACAGATTTTAATTGGAGGGGTGAGATACGTCCAATCCCCAAAGGCACAGATTTTAATTGGAGGGGTGAGATACGTCCAATCCCCACTGGGCACAGAAGTAACCAGGT